TTATTTATTATAGTTATATTATTTTAAAATATTTTTATTTTAAAAATATAAATAGTTTTATAATTAAATAATAAAATTATTATATTATTTTATTTATTTTCAACATAAATTTATTTTATATATTAAATTATTATAAAAATTATTTCATATTTAATTTTTATTTTATGTATATATATATAAGACACCACCCATATACGTCAAGGATCAAGTGGCCATTTTTGTACAGCTTTTCTACATTTAGAGGGAAAGTTTTTTTTTAGTAGGACCCACATTAATTTCTTTGCACTTTCCTCTTCTTTCCTCTTCTCAAACACACACTTCTTCATAATTTCTTCCTTTTCTCTTCTATTTCATCCTTCCCAAACAGATCATTAGGTGGAGGTGGGGGCAACCTTCGCAACACTGACATTGACTGACAACTGGTGTCTAAAAAGGATATAGTGGGAACCAGTAACAAACTACATTATAATGAGAGTTGAAAGATGCACTCCCTCACTTCAATTAGATTATTAGTTTAGTTTAAAAATATTATATTTTGCTTTCCTAATTTAATATTTTCAACTTATTAATGATTGTTTTTGACATTTATGTTTTGTTCTTTGTATATATGATAATTATTATTATTAATTTTTATTTTAAAAAAAAATTGTCTTCACTAACTTAGGGTCTTGGATCTGCCACTGATTAGAACAATGATCTAAAGGCTGATGACTGGTAGAGAAATCAGTTTCATTGGAAAAAGAGGGATGACTAGATGTGTAGTATTTTACTCTGAAACTGAATTACTGTTAGAAGAATGATTTTATATGGTTATTCGTGTGCAAAGAAGAGATTGAAGGGGAGCAATTTTGACATGCTCCTTGTTGTTGACGGCGCCCCATGTAAAAGGGGTTTGTCGTGCATACGTACATTAAACATACACGTATATGCAGATATATCTGCAAGATCTCTGCTAAACAAGTCGTTTAATTTACTTTTCTATCTCTCCTTTATAGTCCACACAAAATTCAAGATTTTTCACCTGAGTACTTTTTATTTCTTCCCCCATCATTGCAGCTGATTTCTGCCACTGATAGACATAGGCAATCAACTGACCATCCAATCAAGTTCATTTTAAGGAGGCATCCATATTCTCTCAAATTTAAGATCAAACCAGGTGCGGTTTTTCTCTTTTTCAAGCTTGTTGCTTTCTAAACATCAAAATGACAAGGTTCCTTCACTTTAGAGAGTAAATGAGGGATGGGATCTGGGTTTTCTAATGTGGAGGATGGGTGAGAGTGAAATGCATGCGGTAAACTGTTTCCGAGAAAAATCAACAAGAGTTTCTTTTATAAAGTACAACTTCTTGGGTGACCAACTATATAGATTTGTGAGAATTTACACTTAAATGATATTCTCATCAATGGTTACCTCAGGCACTTAGTAATAATAGTTTTCTTATGCTAGTTCTGACAAGTTACCCATACAACTCTGATCTGCTTTTTGAACTTGAACTTAAACAGAATATCTTACATGCTTCAAATTTATTATTTAGGTCCTGAAGCTGGTAGTATGGATGGTCGTGCAAAAAAGATCTCTTCGTTTCTTTTTCATCCAATTTTGCCCCTTGCTCTCTCCGTTCAACAGACATTGTTCTTGCAGCCTTCAGTTGTAAATATTCACTTTCGAAGATGAGCGTAGATTTATCATTTATAGATTTAAGTAAGAAAGATTAGCGTAGATTTACTTTTGTCTTCTACTGTTAACCGTCTTTGGCGAATCAAGAGGTGTATATTCAGTCGGGTACTTGCAAAATGTGTTGTCAATTACATTCTGATGATTGCTGTGCCAATCGACGCTTAAATTTTGCTCATTTAATTTTTTTGAATTTAATTTATATGTACTCTCAATTAAACTTGAGCTTTTACAATGTTTAAGAATTAATTTTTTCCTTTAAAAAAAGAATTTAATTTTTATGCGGTGTCAATCTTTTACAATTTTCAGTCAATAACAGTAATTAAGTACAAAATTTTAATTAATTGATTTTTATTTTTATGTATGTGGAATTGTTGGCATAAATTTTGTAAGGAATGACCATATAATGGGTGACTTAGGCATAGCACTGGAGACAAAATTAAGTTCTCATTTAATTATAATATAAGATATTGCTCAGTTTTTTATTTTTTTATTTTTTATTTCTTTTCTTTAGGTCTCGACGTCTGGTTATTGTTCATCAATCATTTCAGAAGACTTAGGAGGGAAAAGTTTATTTTAGCATTATCAGAAGGAATATCAATAAAAACATAAATGAAATTCAATCGATCCTAGCTTCATTATTACAATTTTGAAATGAGATTTTAATCATGATCAAATTTAGGTTAACTGCAATCTCACATGTTTAGAATTCAGAGAGGAGAAAGAGAAAATTGAATTGAAAACAAGAGAAAGAGTAAGATCTTAGTATTCATATTGTACGAGAAATAAATCTCTAAGATTGAATTCGAGTTTATTCCTTCATACCATGGGAATTGTTGCCAAATTAAATCAAAACAAGTTATTTTGCGGTTGATAGTACAGCGAAAGGTTTTTACTAAATCCAATAAAAATCTGATCAATGTTATTCTTTATGATTAATTAGAACAAGAAAAAAAATATATAATTATTTATTTTTTATTATTGAAAAAACTCAAGTCTTATAAAAATCTATAAGTGAAGTCAGAGATTTGATCTACTATAAGTGAAGTCTTATAAAATATATAATTCATTATCTAAGATAGTATTAGGACTATTTTGGATCTACTAAAAGAATCCAATGCTATGTTGATTCTTTGCATCAGTGGCAGAGTACAATATATTGAAGATGAGATTTAGATAATGAATTCAGAGATTCTGAGTTGTTGATTCATGATTTCAATGATGAGATTATCTGAAATTAAAATTTGAAAACTGCCTCGCTTTTATGATTTATCATTTTATGAGAAGGTTATTTTTAACAGAAACTTTTATGAGAAAGCTATCACCTTTTGTTATCGTGTGCGTACATACAGATTTATAGGGGACGGTTTCAAATTTCATGCGATTCTTTTATTAACTGCATGCATTTTATTAGTTTTTTGTTCTTTGGGCATAATTAATTTGCCAAAATCACGTTCTGAAAGCTGGTAAGCATCCTTGGATACTTCAAGTTCTATCTGGAATTGAAGATTTCTGCAAAATCCTGTTGACAAACAAGAAAAAGATAACAAAATTTGATGGTGGATGCTTTTAAGTATTAACATTTGACCTTGAATACATTCATGACTCAACAAGGATATTTACAAATATATATATATATGATATTATTCTATGCTAGGCGAATATATTACACCATGATCTTGGACCTATAGTAAAGGACACTGAATTGATCTAATATATATATTGCTCCGCTGACCACAGGGGCATCAACTCCTACTACTATATATATATATACATATAGAAGCCTAAGCTCAAAATTTAGTGTTGGAATTGAAGTAATTTTTCTCATTTTGTTTTTCAGGTGACTATGACTGGTGTATGAGCCCCTGAAATTCTGAGGTAAGATTCACTTGCTTTTGCAAAGTGACCTCCATTGTTGTATGTTTGATTGAACCCTGACCACTTCATCTGCATGAAGCTGCTCTTCCTCCACGGCCCCACGTGCATTTTCTTTTCCTTCATTGATTTTTTTGCAGCATTGCACATTACTCGAACAATGGCAGTTAAGTACTCCGGTTTTCCGATGTAGAATTCAGGCAAACAGGACACAAGTTTCTGGTAATTCTCACTCGCTTTTGCTATCTGAAACTGCTCCCTCAATTCCAATTCCACCAGAAAATGGATTTTCTTCTTCCTTGTTGATGTGCTCGCAATCACCTCAATATATTCGTGACACCCTAAAAAACATATCAAATTAAATTTGTTAGGCTTTCTCTCAAAACAACATTAAATTTTGGTATATACATATAGTTCATGCATGGATAGTTTTCTGGTACAAAAGAATTGCTTCTAGAAAATCCTATATTCAAAGAGTGTAACCCGAGGAACAGAATTATATAATTGTATTTGGGTGTTTTATGTTGGTTACTTCCTTCTACACTTCTACACATATGCCCTTTAGTTGAGAAAAAATATTTTGGATTTGAAAATACTCCTATTTTTACAAGGAAGTTTATTTTAATGGGATCCATTATCAATTTAGATTTTGAAGGGATATACCCACTATCTTGTAAACAAAGAACTTTTCGTTGAATTTTGTGATGGTCAAAACTTTTTAAAAATATATTACTCTTCCTTTGAGTAATCGTATATTAAGAGTGAGAGTTTGAAATTATTCCAAAAGGATTTTGATACAAGATTTGAGTTCATAGTAGATAGTAATAATTGAAAGTTAATTTTTTATAATTCTTCTTTTCTGCTTCCACTTGATCAAAATATGTTGTTTTTAATGTGTTTAACAGTTTTAGATCAATATTATGTCTAATATTTTAAAATCTCAATCTCTCAGGAGATGATAAGAAAACACATGCATAAATACTCTTGACCCTAATTATTTTAAATTAAGATGTTAAACAATTGAATTTTTTTAAGACTAAATTAGTAAGTAACCAACACAGGATACAGATGATATGAAGTCATTTGATTAGTCTTTCATAAACCACCATATATATTTCAAAAGTTATAACAACAATGATCTTTGGTTGATTGATAATGTGAAAGTTTTTACACAGATAATGCATGAGTATTAACTTTGTATAATTAATGTTACTCTTATGAATAAAAATTATGTACCTCCTGGAAACTTTTTAGTGGTACCCCATTTAGAAATGCAAAGGTTGGTGCTGAATCCTCTGTCGGAGAGGCCAGAAACGACTTGTCTTCTCAAACAGGTGGTGCAATCGGAAGAGAAAGGGTTCAAGCAGCTGCAATAATCCGAATCTTTAACCTCTTTTATGATTCGACCAACGTCTAGTCTCAGTTTTGACCCATTTAAATGGTACCTCTCCAATATTTCCTTAACACAAATCAAATCAAATTTCTTTTAGTCACCAAAACATTAGACATACACATGATAAAATCCTTTCCATTTTCAACATATTGGAATTAAAGACAAATAATTCATGACTAAAATTGAATCTGACACATCAAACCAAGTAATGAAATCTATATATATAGCTAATCATCAGAATGAATATCTGGATTGATGACGCAGATTGAAAACAAATTCATTCAATGTTGTATCCCTTAATCAAGATTAATTGTGTGAATAAGAAGAAAGCAAAATAAATGAAACAAGTTTATGAAATATTGAATGATGAAGAGTAGGTACGTACCTGAAGCAGTGTGACCTGAGATTCCCAATACAAAGTTGTATCGGGTGAGTGCTCAGAGTCGGTGTTGTTTTCCCACCATAGCTCTTCCACATTTGATTCATTGGAATAATAATATTGTTCATCCATGAACATAAACACATTTTCTTCGAGGCTGTCCATGCCCTTTTTTTTTTTTTTTTTTTTAACTCTTCAAGAACACAATACTTTCTATGTCACTCGTTTCGAAAGACAACTCACGGAAGATTTTATTTATTAACCAAAGAAAAATCCGAAAGTTGGTGGAAGAAGAGATAAAAAAAAACAAAGAGCTCTTCTTACAACAAAATGAACATCCTCGCAGAAGTATATATAGGGATAGGGATAGGTTTTGCCATCAGTGACATGTGGATGATGATCAAATAATAGACATGCATCACGTTAGGTTACTCTAATTCCATACTTAATAAATTTCTACGTAATTATTTGTCAGACTTTAATTTGTATTTATTAATTTAGAGGTAGAATAATACGTCCGTGACAATTGAAATAAAATTTTGTTAAATTAATTATTATTAGCCAAATAACTTGAACTGGTTTAGTGATATTCTCAGACGTTAAATTATTCTATTTTCTTGCTTTTGATTCCCTCTAAAATCGGTAAAAGTATTTAAGGAAGAAAATATCTTCTTCATTTACGCATTTTCTTGAAATAGTATTCATCGATATAATTGTAAAGGGGTGGCTTTAAATTGATTGTGGAAAGTGCCACAATTTAACGTGTGGTGCTGCTATTGAGAGTTATCATCAAGTATCAACCGTCAATTAATAAACCAAAATATCTGCTCTACTAATCTCAACTTCAAAAATCAAAAGAAAGAAAAGACCACTTTTCTATTTTCGAAACTCCAAAAACAGGTTAACCCAATAATTTGTTTGGTATTTTCATCATTTCAAGTTTTCATCGGCACCTTTTTCTATTTTGTTCCTTGGTTGAAAATATATAAACAAATTTCTCAGAAAACAAAGACCTATCTCTCATCTTGTTGCATTAGCCTTTGTTATATATAAGTTTAAAGTGTTTATTAATTAGAGATTTTTTTATATCAAAATTAACTCTTTATTTTTAGTAAAAAAATTATTAAAAAAACTTGTAATTTAACTCTTTATTTTTAATGGCTAATCCACTGTTACAGTGGAAAAGGAATTGCGCGTGATCAGGAATAGATCGTTAATGCACCCCACTTTAATCAGATCTTTGTTAGGATAGAAATAGAATATTCCCTAAAAATTAAACAATTTAACTTTATTTAATTTAATGCTCTTACTTTAAAAATATCCTAAAATAATAAATGAAAGCATTATTTATATAATAAATGAAATTTAGATGAAAACTATATTTGCATCAGAATACAATAGATGAACAGTAAATTTACTAAAAAATATTCTAAAGGACTAATAATTAATTCTAATTTTACATGAAGTAGTGTTTTGTGTTAATTTAAACTTTTTTATATAAAAAATTGATTATTTTTGTTGATTATTGTAAATAGTGTTAAATTTCAGTCTAATTTGGTGAGGAAATAAAAATGTGAGAGACTTTTCTTTTTTTTATTTCTCCTTGTTTTCTCTCTTGCCAAAAACACAAATTATCTCTCTTCTATTTTTTTATTCTCCATTTTCTTTGTATTTCAGTGCCACCAAACAGAAAAAGAAAAAGAAAAAAAAGTTTTTTAATATGCAGTGTTGTCGTAGTCAAAATACATAAATATCAAGAAGAAAATGGAACAATAATTAAAGAGTGGTCCCTGCCTCACCGACCCAAACAATGATAATAATAATAATAAAAATAAGTAAATAGTTAATCATCCCTACATTTTTAGTGTAAAAATTTTTACACCGATAATTAATCAAAAAATTTAAATTATTTTATTTTATTTTTATTTTATTAAATAAGCAACTGACATGATACTATTAAAAAATATAATTAATTATTAATGTAAAAAAAATTTATACTAACAATATATAAGTGATTAACTCATAAATAAAATTGTATAATATTACTTTTTTATATGTAGGTCATAATCAATGGGTTGATTAAAATTCTCGCTTTTTTTTTTCTTTTCACTTTTAACATTCAAAAATAAAATTAGCCTCGTCGGTTTAAGTCAAGTTAGAAATTAGTTTAAGAAGATAAAGTTGTCCTTACATAACTTTTGGTCCTAAGTTAGAAAACTTCATTTTAGAGAATAAAGAATGATAATAATCATTGATTAAAAACTTAACAGGAAATATTATAAATAATTTTTAAATTTATTATACATGTATTTAATTTTATAACAATTTTTAAATATTAATTTAATAATTAACAACTATAAATATACTTTACAAAATATACTTTATTCTCTAAAATGTATTATGGAGATAAACAATTAAAGTTAATTTCGGATTATTTTAAACATGTAAGTTTTGTTTTTAGTCCAATAAACAAATACTGAAATTTAATTAGCAAGGTAAATTCTAAGTATCCATGGTCATAAACGAAAGGCGTAATGACCCTTTCAGATGGTCGCTGGATCACTGGGTCCTTCGGACTTTATTCCATACCATAAATTCATCATTTTTTTTAACATGTTTTTACTCTAAAATTTTTAGGTTAGGTTTTTATTTCTCAATTTTAATTTTTTTTTTTGGTTTAGTTTGAAGGTTGTTATAATAATCTATTTTTGATAATATCAAAAAATTAATATTCTAAAAATATTTTCACTAAGTACTAGAAGATATTATTTGAATAACGATACATTCTCCAAAAAAACAGAGTCTGAATCATCCTCCGAAAATTATTAATATTTTTTAATAAATTTATTATAAAATAATTATTTAATTTAATATTTTATAATTTAAATTAATATTTTAATTTCCGGAATGAGTTTCGGAACTTGCATTTGAAGATTCTATTATTTTTATATTATTTGTGTATTATTTTCAATGTCAGAATATTATTTTTCAAATAATTTTACTATGACAAAATTATGATGAGAATTCGATAATTTAGATAATTAAAATCATGGACATCATCAACGATCAAGATTAAAGATAAAAATTATTAATACTTAAGATTTATTGATAGTTACTGGTAATTGTGAGTAGTTAGAACTTATTTTTTATAAATACTAGTTTGCACTATGTCATAAGGGTTAAAACTTGTAAATACCTTATATATTTTAAATCTTAGCGGCATTTTCTAAACTTAATTTTTTCACTTCATAATCTCAATTTCTTCTCTAAACTCTTATTATTTATAATTTTGCAAAATCTCCATGCCTCCGACTCTCCTCCCCCTTATGTTATTGGTTCGAATAAAAAGAATTTACATGATTTTAGAAGAATTTGAATCTTATTTAAAAGTTTATTTGTATTCGATTGTGAAAATCAAATTAAAGGGCTTTTTACACGAAATTATAACGAAAAATTAGAGTTGTTAAAATGGGCTTGGCCCGGTGAGTCAACCCGGCTCACCACGAGTTTGAGCCGGGTTGGGTTAAAAAAAATTTGAAAATTTCAATGCGGGTCAAATTTGAACCCGGCTCACCCGGGTTGAACCCGTGGTGAGCCGGGCTAGCCCACCAACCCGTGATTAATTTTTTTTTTTGAAAAAATACAATAATTATTGGGTCATGGTGCAGTCTAATATGAGACAATAATAATTTAATGTTGGATTGTGATTTGTAATTTTTATGATTTTAGATTGTATTTGAAGTTTAAGATGATTTTGGATTATATTTATCTATTTGAGATTATTTAGATTTGATTTGATTATATTTAAAATTATCATTTAATATTTGGGATGAATGATTCATTTATGGATGTCTTAATTAAAAATCTCAAATTTTTAAAATAAATTTAAATTTTTAGGGTTTAGTTGTATATTAGATTAGGGATTAGAGATTAGAGATTAGGGATTAGAGATTAGAGATTAAAGATGTGGCTAAAAAAGTGAGATTCATTATCCTCTTGTGTGGACTTGATGCATCCACACATGCAAGGCCAATGGCAATGGCAATGGCAATGCCAACTGCAATGCACCATCACTCACTCACTCACAACTCACAGCTTCCATGGCCACCAACCCTTTGCCCCTTTCATGCCCCAAAACCCACATTCTCCGTTTCTCTCTCCCTTCCAAACCCTTCTTTCTCTGCCACTCTGCCCCCAACTCACTGCTCTCCCACCGCTACCCGCCACTCCGCTGCAGGGCAGCCCAAGTTTCGGTGGCGGAGGGCTCCTCGGCTCCCGGTGACAGCTGGGTTCCGGTGGTTCCTCTGTCGGCGCTGCCGAGAGGGGAGCGGCGCGTCATAATTCAGGAGGGAGAGACCATACTGCTGCTATGGTACAAAGATCAAGTTTTCGCCATTGAGAATAGGTCCCCTGCTGAAGGTGCCTATTCTGAAGGCTTGCTCAATGCCAAACTCACCCAGGTTACTCTTCACTTCCTTAAACTACCAAACTAGGTTTCGCTTTTCATTCACAAACATTTCCACATTTAGATAGGATTGTCTTTTATACGAGGAAACAGGGAAAAAGAAATAACTGTTGCATTGTGAATTGGGGAACGGATATTTAGGAATTTGGTATTAAGTAAATTACACCGTCACTTGTGAGATTTGGCAAGATTACGGATATTTTAGAAATAACTGCACTTACCCCTTATTGTTTGAAAAACATTACACCATTACTCCTTGAATATTACATTAACTTCTTTAATTGTTTAAAAGATATTGCTTTGTGTCTCCTTATAAAGAATGTTGATGTAAACGTTAAAATAACAGGGGTTTTGCAATCTCATGAAAGCATGCTGAAACCGGCAGTTAATAGTTATGGTATGTCCCCAAACTGATTGATTAAATTAGATTTTTCAGTAATTCGATGGGTTGATGTAGTGTTTAGGTACCCTGCACTCACAAATTATGGAGGGGAACCCATGTTTGATACTCACCATTGTGGAGATGTTGTATTTAGCGGGAATCCATGTTTGATACTCACCATGTGCAAACACTCGTCGAATCAGCAATAATAATAGTACTAAAAGCTAGTCTTATGGGCTAAGAGATACCCATGTCATGAAAAAAAAAAAAAACTAGATTTTTCAGTTTTTATTATATCTACTTTCCCATTTCTCACGAAAAATATTATTAGCCTCATTCAGCAATGAACTTATGATAAAATAAAATATTAAAAAAATCCGTTTTTTTATGTAATATATTAAAATATAACTTGCTTGGAAATTGCGATTTCAATTCTGTGCCCTGGCAATGTGGTGATAACATTAAACGTGAGATAGTGAGATAGTTCTTCTTCTGCTTCCAGTGTGTTGCTTTATTATCAACACGGTTTATTTTTTTATTTTTTTATTTTTTTTATTGAGGTTTTCCTCTTGTAGCATTATGCTGAATCAAATGGCCATTGGGTTAAGTGGGTAATTGTTTACCATATTTGAAAGTTCAATAATAAATGAGTTCACTAGTCTAGCTTGACTGAAAATGGGAAGATCTTTTACAATTCCTTTCCTTATGCAGGATGGATGTATAGTTTGCCCAACAACTGACAGCACATTTGATCTGCGAACAGGAGAGATCAAGGAATGGTACCCAAAAAATCCTGTTCTGAGAGTTCTCACACCCGCTTTGAGGAAACTCTTTACCTATCCAGTGAAAACAGATGAACAGAATATTTATATCAGCATGAGAGGTGTGAAATCTGATGCTTCTGCTGAAATTGTCTTTAGTGGGAAGGCACAACCTGGTTTTACAGCAACTGATGTCAATGTTGATGAGGTAACAAAACAACCGTTAACATTCTGATAATTAGTTTTGGAACAATGCTATTACATTGCATAATTTACATCCTGCTGTTTGTCTTGACTTGTTATATGATGTGATTAGGTTAAAATGGTGGTTGATGAGGAACTAGAGGGATTTGGTTTTACTGGGAAGAACGAAATAATAAACGGGAAAGCAGCTGTTATTGGTTTCCTTCTTTTGTTAGATTTTGAGCTTTTAACAGGTAAGGGTCTTTTAAAGGGAACAGGTTTCTTGGACTTCTTATACTCAGTGACCAATGCTTTCAATTAGGTATCATCTCTGTTATTTCAGCATGAAAACATTCCTCTGATCCTCAGCACCATAATATGACCTCTTAGTAATTACATTTCCTCTTTGGATTCTCTGTATCTAATATTGTATATCGTGAGTTTAGATCGTGGCAAATTTACAACCTTTGGTTTTGTGTTTTCATGTTACTCTGTATACCATACACATTTTTTAAGTTCACATTTGACAATGACATTCCAAAATTTGGTCTTCATTTTTTTCTTATGGCTTTTCAATTAGGATGCTCAACCACGGTATCTCTTCTCATAGGATAGCTGATTATCAAGTTCTTGTTTGGTTTGTGTTGTGATATTCTTGACTTATCATGTTTTGGTGCGAAGTATCTAACAGTCTTGATGATCTATTTCCATTGTTGATTTTGATTGATCACTTTTTAGTAAGGTCTTTTCTTCATATCACATTTTTTTATCAACAAAACACAAATCTAAAATCTTATTTAAGAAGAACAAATCCAATTCTGCTTGGACCTACAACTTATTGGTGGTTTGTGTTATGATATAGAGATATAATATGAAATTGTCTGTGTTTTCAGTACTATCAGTTTAAGCTTTTAGCATTGAAGATTATGTTATGGTATTGGATGTCACTATTAGTCTATTATCTAAGTAGTTCAGAATTCGATCTATGTTGCTCCCATTTTTATTTTTTGAGTAAAAAGTTAATTTCAGCACATTATAGGTTAGTCTGTGGCTCTGTGCGTTATTCACGCTTAAATGCCCAATGAGTTCTTGTTTGTATGAGGTGTGCTAGATATGTATTATAAAGATTTCTTCAGGCAGCTTAAATTTTTTAGGTACTTCATTCGTGAATTTGTAACTCAATTAGACATTGGAGAAATTTTCATTTTGAAATTTGAACAAAATCAAATTTGTTTGGCTGCTCAAATCCGTATTTTCTAAACGAAATTTTTCGAAACATTTTCAAAACAATTTCGAAAAATATTGACAAACGGTCCTTGTTTTCGAGTCACCGTTTGTTGGAAGAAATAATTATATTGACACGGGAAGACTGAGCAATAATTTTTTAACATGTTTTTGAAAATATATACGACTGCACTTTACTAATAGGTGAAGTTTGTTAAAGTACACAAAATTGTGAGGGAAATCTATCTGATAGTAGTGAATAGTGAAACCCTTATCTTTGTATCTTAATAAATTTGAGATAGTAGCAGAGAGAATGTATTTGGAAAATAAAATGTTATCAGGTCCGGTAAATTGAAGATAGAGTCTATCAAAATTAATTGGTTTACTGTCCAAATACATTATATTTTCTTACAAATGTTTTTATAAATGATAAAAATGACATACATTGATAATGTAAATAGGACGTTAAAAAGGGTTTAACCGAATGGGTTGTGTAAATAGAATTGAGTTGTATTTTTTAAATTTTCAATATGAAGAATTTACTCATCAATCCAACGGGATAAATGATGGATTGAGTTAGCTCATTAAATTGGGCTTATTTTTCCTTTGACTTTTATTTATTGATTGCATATTTAGATATTAAATTATAAATTCATTTACAATAAACTAAAATTTAAAATACTTTTTACTTGCATGTGTTTTTTCATAGTTTAATGTATTTGCTAATACTCATAAATATATATATTTTAAATATATTATTAAACAATTTATTTATTGAATAGTTAATAAGTAAATTAGACATATATCATTAAACATGTAGATGAATTGGTACAAAATTATTATAGTTTTATCAATAATATCAAATTCAAGTTAAATATGTATATAATTGGAGAGAGAGTTTTGCCAATCTTAGAATAATGGATTTGAGTCTAACTCAATCCTACAAAATTGATTTGTAAGGTGATGGTTGTTCTTCACTTATATATTCTTTAATTGTTTTTATTTATAGTCGACGTGGGATTTGAGTTTTTTCCAATACACTCTCTTACGTCCAATACTATTGGGCTTGGTACGTGGATATAGGCATGGCAACGGGGCGGGGCGGAGGCGGGTTTTACGTTTCCCGCCCCCGCCCCCCCTCCCGATACCTGCCGGGGATAAAATCTGGGTCCTCATTCCCGCCCCCGGCGGTGTTCGAGTTTCCCCTCCCCGCCCCCGCCGCCGCTCCTATTTCTTTTCTTCTTTTTTTCTTTTAAATAAATATGAACAATTTAAAAAAAAATAAAAGAAAAGTAAAATAATATAAATTTTTACATATAAATATTTTTTATTTTGATTTATATATATATATAAGGGGCAGGTATGGGGGCGGGGGCGGGGTGGGTATTAACATCTCCGCTCCCGCCCCCGCCCCCGATTTTATCAATCGAGGAAAACCCGAACCCGAACCCGATAAACACGAGTTTTTCTCATCCAAATCGGGGCGGGTTCGGGCAGGTACTCACGGGGGCGGATTAGATTGTCATGCCTACGTGGATAAACGATAAGTGATCCTTTTAAATGATCTGAATATATGATAGCTCTGATATCATCTTAGAATAGTAAATTTAAGCCTAACTCAACACTATAAAATCAGCTTGTAAGGTGAGGGTTGCTCTCCACTTATATATTACTTAATTGTCTTATCTCTAGTTGACGTGAAACTTAAATTTTTTTTAATAGTCAACAAATATTAATATTAGCTAGGCTTGATATAAAATAAATATGATTACATATAGATAAAAGAATATAAAATATGGAAAAAAGAATCCCTCTTGAAATATATATTTAAATTTATATTAGAATTATAACTTATTTTAGTCTCCTTTTTATTAAAACGGTTTTATTCTTATAAATGTTTATTTGTCTTTCTTTTATACTTTTTTAAAGGAACTTTTTTACTCACTAATTACATAACTTCTTTTATTCTTTTTTATTTAATTAAAATATACAAAGACATTTCGGGTCTCTTCTCTACTAGTATATATAATGAATTAAGTGAGGAGATTCTATAATTTCAAGTATTATATAAATTAATAATCTTATCACTTTATTGAATAATACATTCTACTAACAAGAGGATTTAGAATCGTCGAAAGTCGAGCAAATAGAATCCATGAAGCGCAAGTAATCAATATTTATGCTTGGTTGTTGGGTAGGCTTTAAATGAAATATGAAAATAAGTGGCAACTGCGAACAATGAAAGAACAAATGAACACTTTGTGCAGATGTGGTCCAAGTTCCCACTGGAAGGCATAATGCACTTTTGATATTTGTTGTTAGATGTGGTTCTTATCCTCGGATTGAACACTTCAACCATTCTCTTCATTAGTCTTAACACTCAACACAAGTGGCTCTAGTGGTAGCAACTATGACTCTCAACATGATGCCTCGTAGCTAGCTAGTCATATACCATCACAATCGTTTTACCAACTTAGCAGATAATTATTCTCTATTAATTACGGTTTTTTTCTTTCATTAAAACTCGAAAGGATGGTAATTAATATTATGTTGAATCTTTAGATAGAGGAAAGAAATGAAAGAGACGAATCTTTGCATGAAAATGGATCTGTAAAAAGTCAAAACTTTTATTAATTATCCTTGGAATAGTGTGTGATTAATGGCGCTAGAGCAAAACATAAATGAGTATGCCGTGAAATAACATATATATGGACATGTAATTGTAAACTTCCCTTGATTTGGCAAATTACGTTTTCCGATCCACAATTGAATTATCTAAAATCATGAAATATTTTGCTCACGTTCTTCCAAATAGACTTCTCATTTAAAAAAAAAAAGAAAAGAAAAAAGACTAAATATTTACTAGAAGAATTTGATGAATAAAAATAATGTTACCGTTATATTATGAAAAAGTTGTAAAGAAATAGATGACTAGACCGAGATTATAAATTAATATTGTCACACTTTAGCATATTTTTATTATTAAATATCATGTACAGTGAGCACGTGCTTATTATTATTATAAATCTAGTCATACCAAAGAAGTAGAACAAGAAGAGGTCTTTAGAAGGGTTGAACACGTTACACATTTATAAGGCAGCATTAAACTTTAATATTACTTCATAACGTCACTTACGACGTAATACGATATTTGTATCCACGCGCGAGTTATCTCACCCCGCAACAATCTCAGGCACCGCGCAGGCGCGTGACTTTCATTCCCTTCAACTGCGTCTGGAATTCATAAATACAAAACTAAACTATAGTCATCTAATGGAAATTCCTCTTCAACTTGTCGTCGACAAATGGAAGATTCCGTTTCAATAATAATAATAACATAACAAGATTTATCAAAATATTATCAGGGTCATGAATAAATAATCTTTTATTCAAATTAATTATGACAAAATTATATTAATATTAATATTACTCTCTAATAATTTTTGTTAAATGAAAAAACAATCATCATATCAACAACTAAAAAATAAGTTTAATGATCATTAGTGTGTAAGTTAATTAACTAAAAATAGATAATTTTTAATTAAGGTAGTTATTGTAATATGTTAAACAATTTGTAATTATATAATGATATAAAAAAAAACTTTTATTGCGTAGGTTTTTTTGCCTAAAAAATTATGCAATATTTTTATAATTAAAAACATAAACTAAATGAATCTAAGTCAAATATATTTAAGAGACTAAAAATAAATTTATTTTAAAAATAAAAAATAAAAAATATATTATGTGAAATAATAATATATAGACGAGTTATTAATCTTTGTTAATTAAAGGCTCTTTGTAAATGCATTGTCCTTGTGGATTAACACGTGATATTGGTAATTTGTTGGTATTTGGTTGTCCCTGCAACTTGGTAAGACTTAAATGCAATCACAAAGTTTTGCTTTGTTTTTTATATTATTGGTTGGTGCAGTGCAGTGCATTGCATACTAATTTAAATTTTGACCTTTGAAAATTTTGACTTTCTTCTCTTCCACCCACCTTTGCCTCTTTCAATATTTACGAACCCATTTCACTTCTGACTTTGACATTCTTCAAACCTATAAAAGCACACGCTTCTGAGTTCTCTTCTAAGACAATACACACAGACTCACTAAGATTATCCAAAATATGAGTTGGACTTCAAAGATGCATGCAACCACCAGAAACAAGTTCAAGGGCGTTCGCCGTCGGAAATGGGGCAAGTGGGTCTCCGAGATTCGCGTTCCCGGCTCGCAGGAGCGTCTGTGGCTCGGAACCTACGCCACGCCGGAGGCTGCGGCGGTGGCTCACGACGTCGCCGTTTATTATCTCAGGAGGCCCTCTTCGTTGGACAAACTTAACTTCCCCGACACTTTCTCCTCGTACCGTGTTCAACTCAGGGACATGTCTCCGAGGTCTGTTCAGAAGGTGGCTTCCGATGTTGCCATGGATGTGGACGCCAGAAACATTGTTGCCGACAAAACCTCATCCATGGCCGTCGAAGACACTTTCGAGAGTCAGAACAAAATTGTTAATGGTGATGATCACTTTGGAGCAGGTGCTGATCATTGTGATGTGTTATGGTGGGATGGATTCGGGAATGATGAGTCTGGGACATGGCAAACAAGTTTTCAAGATTGTAGCGAAGGGGAGAATTTGAGCGTTTCCATTCAAGATTATCTTTAGCTCTTCAAGCTTTCTAGTTTCAACTATATATATTATATACATATACTACTCTTCTTGTTTAACTATCATGTGCATAGATTAGTTGGTTACAACTTCTAAAAACAGAAAAAAAAATGAAATTGGTCGATTTGACACCCATTTCCTGTTATGAACGTTGCTTTCATTTTCCTGTGAAAAGTTGCGCAGTAGATGATTTAGCATTTGTCCTTTTTAACTAAGACTAGAATTCGATTTTTACTTAACTATAAAGTCACGATCAAAAATACTATTTTATCCTTCTAAATATAAAAAAGTCAACGTAAGATCATAAAATATGGAAAGCATCACACCGTCTGATCAGCGGAATAGCTAAACTCTTCTTTAATCAATCAGTGTGATACATATAAAAAGGCAAATGAGCATTGCATACATAAATAAAATCTTTTGCAAGTGGGTAGGTCAAACGTAAAAGAGTAAACAAAATTGATATGGAATGGAATTATCTTCGCAAGCCAATGTCACTCTTAAATTCTTATTCACAATTTATAAAGAGCTCCAAAAGTACATTTTGTCCTTGCCGCATGAAGCAATCAATAAAGAAGCATACATGTCAATTTATCAGTAACAGAGACCTATCATTGTTACAGGCTTCTCGGTGATAGGCTCTTGAATGCAATCACGATCACAGCCAACATGGAGTTCCAGAACATGAGGACCTTAAAAGATTACAGTGGGCCTTTCAAAGATTACAGTATTCGCATTTAATTAATCCTCTTAACAATTTTATCACTAAACCAGTCCTTTACAGATGTGCAACAAACAGCACCACATTAATTTGCTTTTATGGAAGACCAAATTTATATCACCAGAAGATGAGTTTGAATTTTTTTTTTTTTTTTTTTGATAAACTAATTTAGTTACAAAAATCTGAAGGACCAGTTTTGGAGTTTCCACTAATTCTTTAGTTTTTTTTATAAATCTACTCAAACTTCAAGTTGAGAAGAAAAGATAAGTGATACTTCAAATGACTTTAAAGAAGTGTCTATTCAGGCAAATACACAAATTTTATTTTATTTGCAAGCGGAAATGAAATAACAACCTGAAAGCACATAACATTAAGAACATTGCATTCAAATTTCAGAATAAATGCAGTTTATAACATGCTAGTGTTCTTCTTAGACAAACTTCCCAAAGCCTTTGCCCTCTCCCTCAGAACAAATTTCTGTGTCTTGCCGGTTGAAGTCTTTGGCAGATCAGCAAAAACTACAGTTCGAGGAGCCATAAACCGAGGCAAACGATTCTGACAAAATTGTATTATCTCGTGTGGCGTAGCACTGCACCCTTCCTTGAGCTTCACAAATGCACAAGGTGTCTCTCCCCAATAATCATCAGGTCTCCCAACAACAGCTGCCTCGAGAACTGCTGGATGACTAAAAATCACTCCTTCAAGCTCAATTGTGCTAATATTTTCTCCCCCTGAGATGATGATATCCTTTGACCTATCCTTAAGCTCTATGTATCCATCAGGATGCTTTACTCCCAAATCACCAGTCCTAAACCATCCACCTTTAAATGCTTCTTGGGTTGCTTTCAAGTCCTTCAGATATCCATTCATCACTACGTTGCCCCTGAACATAACCTCACCCATGGTTTTTGCATCAGCTGGTACACTCTTCATTGTTTGAGGATCCTTAACATCCAGCTCTTCCATTCCAACATGGGGCACTCCTTGACGGGCCTTGAGTTTTGCTTGTGCATCTTTAGACAGATTGTTCCATTCTGGTTTCCAGGTGCAAATTGATCCTGGACCATAGGTTTCTGTCAAACCATATGAATGAGTCACATCAAATCCTAGCTCTTCCATCCTAAAAATCACATCTGGTGGCGGAGGTGCAGCACCCGTCATCACCCCCACCCTTCCGGGAAGTGGCTTCCGGACATTAGGGGGTGAGTTAATGATCATGTTTAAAACAGTTGGTGCACCGCCCATGTGGGTAACCTTGTGCCTAAAAATATTATCAAATATCCCTTCAGCAGTTACATTTCTTTGGCAAACATTTGTGCCACCCTGAGCAGCAATGCCCCAAGGGAGGCACCAACCATTGCAATGAAACATGGGAACACACCATAAATATACCGGCATACACCTCATCTCATTAAGAAGAACTGTAGCCAGAGCATTAAGATAGGCACCTCTATGGCTGTAGATTACCCCCTTGGGGTTCGATGTAGTTCCAGAAGTGTAATTGAGTGAGATCGGATCCCATTCATCTCTTGGCCTCCTCACCTCGAATTGAACATCCCCGTTAGCTATAAGATCCTCATATATCAAGGTTCCTTTAGCAGTGGAAGGTGATGGGTGACCACACTCAAAAATTGACACCAAAAGGGGAATCTTGGAGGCGGTTTTTGAGAGGATTTCTAGTGCCCCTTTAGCAACATCAAGTAATTGGTAATCAACAAAAAAAAGCTTGGCCTCAGAATGTTTTAACAACAATGAAACCATTGCAGAATCATGACGTGTATTTAGCGTGCAAAGCACAGCCCCTGACATGGGAACAGCAAAATGTAGCTCATACATAGCTGGAACATTAGGGGCCAATACAGCAACCTGGTCAAATTCATAACAAGCACAAAGCATCACATAATTACATTATCATGTACCAATATGCTAACAAAAAGGGAACAAACCATAAGTACCAATCCATACATAAAAATGTTTAATTTTGATCCAATCGAAAGCACTAGAACACTAATTGATGAAAAGGGCATAGAAAGAAAGACAAACCACATCGCGAGGAGAAACTCCTAGTTGAGAAATGGAAGAAGCGAGTTTGATGCAGCGTTGGTGTGTCTGTGCCCACGTGTAGGTGACGTCACCGAAGACCACAGAAACTCTTTCCTGGTACACCACGGCGGCGCGCTCCAAGAAGGTGATCGGAGTGAGAGGAACGTAGTTGGCGGAGCAGCGGATACTTCCCTCCATCTTCACCTCTTTCCTGTGCTCATACATGCATATGTATGTTTACACAAAAACTATATATTATTCACTTATCTTTATCTTCCCCGATCAATATATAAGGACAACAAACTCTACACTTTCATTATTATTCATTTATCTTTTTACTATTCAAAATATAAATTTCATTTCTATTTCAAATTCATCCCTTATTTAATGACTTTTAACAACTAATCAATCGTTGGTGGATACAAATTAGAATGAGAATAACACAAGATATTGTATATGGTCTCATAGTTCACATTCATACATAGGCTAATTTGGTATAAATAAATTATCACAAAATTTAAATACATATTTTTAATCTGCGATTATCCGATTAGAATCTTATTTAGTAATATATAATTATATTTAATATAGATTTCATTAATATATGTTTATTCATATTACTGAATTTAATTTTATTTAAAAAGTTACATAGATCACATCTAAATAATTGTATATAAATTTTTTAATAAATTATATCCTTTTATAAAAATATTAAAAATTGATGAAATCGATCATAAAAAGTGACATGATGACAATAATTTTTAAGTATTTCTTTGATTTGGTTGTATAATAAGATAAAAAATAAATAAATATGAAAATAAATTTTAGATTAATTTTTAATATAAGATTAATTATTTATTTTTACTCTTAATAATGTTAAAATTATAAAAAACTTATAATATCTAATAATAATATGTAAATATACAGGAAATATTTTCTACACTTTACATGATTATATATAGAAGAGGGAGTATTCTTAAATAGATCTTTTTTTTTTTGAAGAAATGCTACAACCTCTGAATCATAAATGTCAATTTATTCTCTGATTTTTAAAAAAACAAAATATTAAATTAAAATAATTTTATATATTAAATCAATCTACAAAAATTCAGTGTTAGAAAGATTTTTTTGGATTATATCTTTCGGAAGATTAAACATTTCCTTTTCAAATTATACAAATCACGCCAGACAAAATTCAAAAACATATTTGTAGTTGTCTTAAAATGTTATTTATTTATAAGATACTTTTCAAGAAAAAATGTTATTTTTATGCTCATGTAACATTATAACTATTTTTCTACTATTTAAATTCTTGTTATTAATAATAATATTTAAGATTCCTTTTGGTGAAATAATTAACATTTAAATTTAATATTTATATAATAATTCAGGTCAAAGGGATATGAAAAGACTGTAGTGAATCACGTAATCCAAAAATTCATGAAAGAGGATAATCTTGGGCACGTTATCATAATAAAATATTGGTATTAGGTTATGATAAATTAATCAATGATGGATGCATGTTCGACTTGGAATCCAATTCTTATGTAGCTTTCCATCTCATATTCATATTAAATAAGAGTTCTTCCACTCACGTTGCTTCCCTTTTTTAACTAAACTTCAGTGATTAATCAATCCACACATATATATAGTAAAAGAGATATAAAAAAGTATAATTTTTTTTATTTTAGTGAATTATTATATCTCTAAAAATAATTTCATATTTCACAAATAACTATTTACGACCTCTTTCAAATTATTATTTTTAATATTTTTAATTTTTAAAATTGAAGACATATAGAGTACTTTTTTCTACTAATATAATATAATAGTGACATTGCGAATTTTTTACAGAAATATAATTTAAAAAAAAAATACTCAAAAAGAACTTGTTATACATTATTTACAAAAGTAGCATAATTCACTGTTCAAGCTCAAAATTCGGTTCTCCAGTAGGAAATCAAATTCTGAATTTCTTCGTCGCTAACGTTCCTGGAAACTAAATTCTGAGCTTGAACGGTAAATTGTGCTTATAAATAATGTGTAACATGTTCTCTTTGAATACTTTTTTAAAAAAAAATTATATTTGTGTAAAAAATTTGACATTGTGCATCTCTCTCGTATTTTTAGGGAAGATAACCATGTTGTGATACTTTAATAAAGCATACTCTTAAATCTGGGATTAATAATAGAATTCATGATGTTGTTACTTATATTATTTTATTATTTTGCTAGCGCGTGTTTCTTCCATGATTTTTAATTAAATTTGTAATTATTCCTTTGATCAATAAAAAACAATTTCCAATGGATGTCCTTTGAATATTTTTTTGCGGAAAAAACCACTCAGACACGACACTTATAATATGTTTTATTTATAGATGTAACTTATTCTAATTAGGGGTGTGTAGACGGTTCGGCTATGCGGACTGGTCCGTAATTCCGTCGATTTTGCGAATAATGAACTTATTTTTTTTCAAATTTATATGATTATGTCTAATTTTTGAGTCTGGTTCGTGAAATTTATAGACTTGGCAGATGTAATCAGCGGGCTCGCGGGTTAGTCAGCAAACTTTACTAATTAATATTTTTAAATATTATGATTTTAATATTAAGTTGTGTATTTAATTTTTTAAATTATTATAATATTAAAATTATGTTTAGTTGGTAGGTATTTGTCATTTGAATTACTTTTATGACATTTTGATGCTTTTATTATTGAAAGTTTGGTACTATTATTTAAGTATTTGTAATTATTTTTATTTTAATATTTTAATATTTAGTATTTTAAACCATTTTAACTATTGATAAATTTTAGTATGATAAAATTTAGCTTATAAATAAAAAATATTTTTTTTCTTCTAATTTTATGTATTTTTATTTTTAAAAATTTATTTTTTTGAACGATTATTTAGGCCCGCGGACCGATCCGTTATCCGCGGATTTTGGCGAGCCGGATACGGACTTAAAAAATAAGTCCATTTATTTTACGGACCGAACTTATCCGGCCCGTATAAAACACGAGTTTTACAGACCGGGCCTTAAACGGCCGGACCAGTCCGTATACCCACCCCTAATTCTAATCAGTGTTATGATTACTTTTAAAATTTTAAATTTTAGTAGTAGAATTGATAAATACTTTTGTTAATATTATGATAAAAAAATTATTTTATTTATAAAAATAAAAGGATAAAAAATAAAGAATACAAAGTAAGACAATTTTTTTAGATTACTTAAAAGAAGAAAATAAAAAGTTAAACAATTTCTTTTTGGATTGCATAAAAAGGGAAAAAAATTATGAATCTATTTGGCAAATATTTTAATATTTTTTTAACTTCTTTATTTTATCTAAATTATACTTTTGGTCTTCTATTTTTGTCAATCCATAATTTAAAATTTTTATTTTAAAATAAAGATATTTAATCTTTCAAATTTTAAAAGTACCAAATTTTAATCTTTTTTATCAAATTGATATTTATTAATTATTAAATTTAACATTTACTTATATTTAAGTAATATGACATTTAGTAGCATGATTTTTTTATATTAAATAATTTATGCAAATAAAATTTATTAATATAAAATAAATAACAATTATTTTAAGAGAATGGATGTGTAAATTTTAGTTAATTGTTTTAACTATTGGATTAAGAGAGAAGTTAAGTTTTAAGATGGGAGTTAGGTTAGTTTTCATCATATGCTCTTATAATTTCTTTTCTTGTACATTTGCACTCTGAAGAATTGGGAGAATTAGAAGTCGTAGGAGATCACTCCAAATGTCCATATCCTTCGATTAGTGTTCCCCAAGATAAGGGGATGAATAATCTTGCTTTAGGCATGTGATAACTATTTGGTAATGAGATTGACCCTCCAATCTCTTATTTATTATATGAAAAAGGAAATCCCAACTTGTAACTTGTGTTGTATTTATGTTGATTCTTCAATGCTCTATGGAGTGTATTGAACATGTGTATGGTTAATTTTGTTTAGCACTAGTACAAAAAGGGTAATTTATGTCGATTATTTTAAGCTTTTTATGTCAGAAAAAGGTCTGACGTTAATACAGGAGACGTAAATTTACGTTGGACATTCACAAGAGCCGACGTAAAAAAGTTAGAAACAACAAAAAACATAACGCGTACAAGCAGAACGGGCCGTTCTCCAAGTAGAACGAGACGTTCTCCAAGTAGAATGGGACGTTCTCCAAGCAGAATACAGGCCGTTCTGATTGGAGAATGCCCCATTCTGCTTGGAGAACGACTCGTTCTGCTTGGAGAACGAGACGTTCTGCTTGCAGATCCACCCACACGCGAAGCATTTTCTACCTGTATTAACTAATATATTAACAAACGATGATCCACTCAAACGCGAAGAAGAGGATAATATTAACTAATATATTAATAGATCAATACATACATTTATTTTCAACATATTAGCTAATATATTAAGAAAGGATTTTCCAAACTAACCTCAAACGCGAGCCTAATGCAATCGGTCAAAAACTCAAGAATTACCCAAACGCGCAAACATACACTCAGATGCAATACACTCTAACGAAATCTTAACTCAGAAAACTCGAATGACACATACACTCAAAACTCTTATTTAAATATTGACACGCATGCGAATACAAAATTTGTAGATATTTTACGTCGGACGACGTAAAAAAGTTCGATTTAATTACAAAATGCCACCACGTTTCTTTAACGTCGGATTTTTCTTTGACTAACAAGAATATAGTGATGTAAATTACCCTCTTTTCCTACTTGTGTACTAAACTAATCTTGTGAATCTTTCATTACTCATGGATTCTTATGGAATCCTTATAAAAATACATTTTGGATTATTATATTAAATGTTATGAGTATATAATTATGTGTAAATTATCTCTTTTAGTAATTTAACTTTACCTTTTTAGAGTGTTTAACAGATTGGAATTTCGACTTGAAAATGTGAACATGTAATGTGAAAATCTAATAAAAATATGTATTTTTTTTTATAAAAGAAACGCTACAGCCTCCGAATCATAAATGTCAGTTTATTCTCTGATATTTAAAAAAACAATAATATTAAATTAAAAAAATTATATATTAAATCAATCTACAAAAATTCAGTGTTGGAAAGATTTTTTTTGGATTATATCTTTCGGAAGATTAAACATTTTCCTTTTCAAATTATACAAATCACGCCACACAAAATTCAAAAACATATTTGTAGTTGTCTTAAAATGTTATTTATTTATAAGATACTTTTCAAAAAAAATGTTAT